AATTTCCGTGTGATTCCTTCGATCAACAATTGCTAATCTCTGCCTCACGAATCAATTCGATCAACTAATTTGAAACAAAGCTTGCCTCCAAACCTAGATTTGTGCCGCCATACGCGACTCACCTAAACCCTATGCATTAAGCCTCAATCCGCTTTTTCCAGACGTAGCTTCTAATGACCGTTTGAAGTTAAAAACCAAAATCGATAAATCATTTTTACAAAATGGATTTTTGAATATATATTTGAAAAAATTAATATTCCCTTAATTTTTATATCGTTCAATAAATAGTTTATTATTTTTCAAAAATAAAAATGTTAATTGAAATAAAACAAAACATAATAATGACAGTGATGAAAAAAAAAAAGGGAAAAGTACACAAGAGATACTCGTGATTGGATCCGTTTTCAGATAGAGTCATATGTTTTATTTTTTATCAAAGTGGATCATGTGTTTAAGTTCTCTTATCACAAGAGGGTCATATCGTTAAAAACGTCTGAGCAAGACGGTTAATAGTAACTCTGATTTTCATAATTGCTCGGAAAATTATAAGAAAAATACCGGAAGGTGCGCCTCGTCAAGATGACATCCAAACCACCTTCGCCTTTGGATTTTTCAGATCCATATGAAATATTTTTTAGAAATGATTTTGCTAATATCACTTTTCCAGTGGACTTTCTAGGGACAAGAATGTCTGGGAAAAAAGGAAAGATGGCCTAGCGGTCTGTTGAGGCGCATCTTTCGATATTTTCCTTTTGATTTTCGGGTGTTTTTAAAAACCGGGGTTCAATTAACCTGCTTTCTCATGCGTTTTTAACGACGCGACCCTCTTGTGATAACAGAATTCAAACACATGAACCACTTTGATAAATAATGAAACACATAATCCTATCTGAAAACAGACCCAAACACAAGTACTTTTTCCTTACTTATCCCTAAAAAAATATATTATGAAAATTCTTGTTTTATATTATTATTTTAATAACCCGTAACAAATACTTGTATTTAAAATATTAATATTGTGTGTGTGTATATATATATATATATATATATATATATATATATATATATATATATATATATATATATATATATATATATATATAGGGGTGAGATCACATACAAACCATGCTTAACTTACTAACCTACAAACTCAATAATATGCAACACTTTGAACTTCAATATGCAGTACAAATAATGTAAAGATGCACTCTTTGAATTTCAATATGCAATACAAATAATGTAAATATGAAACTGCTATTTTATAGCTTGAATAATATGAAACACTTTGAACTTCAATGTGCAATAGAAATAATGTAAAGATGATTTGAATGTGAGGACTACTTTGTATGTGATCTCACCCCTGCATGTTTACATTATTTTTACTGCATATTGGAGTTTAAAGTGATGCATATTATTGAGTTTGTAGGTTAGTATTTTAAGCATGATTTGTATTTGATCTTTTATATATATATATATATATAGACATATATATACATATATATATATACATATATATATATATATACATATATATATATATATATACATATATATATACATATATATATATACATACATATATATATATATGTGTGTGTGTGTGTGTGTGTGTGTGTGTGTATTTATGTATATGCGTGTATATTAAAAATAAAAGTAATACGGAGTAGTAGTTGTATAAAATAAAAATAAGTATAATTTTTAAAAGCTTTTATTGAAAACTTATAAAAAAATTAAAATGTTAAGCTAAGTTAAATATATATGTAACATAAAAAAGCAATAAAGCAATTATCATAATATACTGATATCAATCCACATATTTAATAAACTCTCAACTATACCCGCACGGGTAGTTCAGTTGGTCGAGTGGTGGGAAAATTGAACCAAGTGACCAAGGTTCGAAATCTGCAGCGGCAGTGTGGAGGTACAGAACCTGAAATAAGGTTGGACCTCTGGTGCGCACGTGTATAAGGCCTATCGCCGCTTTGCTGACTGAGTCACCGTGATTAACTCCCCCATCATTCTGTTGGGTCGGGTGGAGATTCCACCTTTTGGACCAAATAAACTCTCAACTAACGGCCCATCACTGATTAGGTAACACCTCATAATAAATACTCCGTACGATAGTAATAAGTATTCACTTCACTTGAATATGAGAAACTGTGAGCATTTGCTCAGTGGTCTCCATCGATAAATTAAGAGAATATAAAAAAGGATGACACTCCATCCCTGAGGGCCCTCAACCCCGACCAGATGTTACGTCGGGAGGATGTAAATAGAACTATAATCTCAATCTGACGGATAGAGAGTGAGGCTCTATCCTCGTTACTTGCAGAGGTCCTATGCAATTTTAGTATAGTAACTCATCATTGCACTTGTCGGGATTCGAACACAGGACCTAACCCTTGTGTCACTCCCTTGCTACCAGTTGAGCTACGCCCACCGGTAATTACGAGAATATAATTTGAATGTTTAGTTATTGTATATCATATCAAGTAGTTTTTCAGAATTTATACATTAAAAAGACATTATTATTATAATGTAGCATCATTTCATTTGAAAACTAGTTCCAATGTGAATTAAAAAAACATTTTCATATATTCATTAAAAAGACATGTTGTGAGACGTCATTTGCATTACTAGTAGAGATGCTTTGCATACCTAACTCCAACACGCGCAATTAAGAGAAGTATCAAATTTTGAACCTACTTGCCAGTTTTGTACGGTAATAAATTTCCTTTCCCCCTACTCCAATTAATGGCTGTTTTCTTCAACTAGTTTTTCCAAACAACGTTTGAATGGTGGGCGAACAAGTAACAGAAACTCATAAATTCTTGAAAACTTATATTTAGAGCATGTTCGGTAACACTTAAATCAGTTAAATCGGTTGATTATGCTGAAATTTATAAATTCTGACTTAAACAGCTGTATTGACTGATTCTTCTGATTTATGAAAAAATTATATTTAAAATATATTTTATTATATACTCCCTCCGGTCCCAAATGAAATTCACACTTTGACTTCACACAAATTAAGGAAATAAATTTGACTCTACTGTAGAGTACAATGTTGTAATACTGTTTGACACTGTTTGGCACTGTTTGACACTGTTTTGCATTGTTTTAATGTAGATAATTTGCCAAATAAGGAAGAGAGAAGAAGTGTGAAGTTTATTTTGGACCTACCCAAAAAGGAAACTGTGAATTTTATTTGGGACCGGAGGGAGTAATAAAGAAAAAATTAACCCGCACGGGTAGCTCAGTTGGTCGAGCGGTGGGAAAAATTGGACGTAGACCAAGGTTCGAATCCCGCAGCGGCCAAAAGAGGGTTTTCAGAACCTGAAATAAGGCTGGCCCTCTGGTGCGCACGGGTAAAGGCCTACTGCCGCTTTGTCGACTGAGTCACCGTGATTTACTCCCCCACCATCCTGTCGTGTCGGGGTGGGGGGGGGGGGGGGCTTGGGGTTGGGGATTCAACCTTTTGGACGAAGAAAAAATTATATGAAAAATAGCTAAAATGGTCATCTACATTAACTTCAGTCAGAAAATGAACTTCAACCTTACTTTTTCTTATTATTACACAATTCAGAGCGCGAAATAAAAAATTACGTGTTTGGTTAAAAAGTTGGCTGATAAGCCTGATAAACCGAAAAACGTAGTCACCAAACGGGCTCTAAAAATATTTTTTAATGAAGTAATTAAAATAATACGAAAAATAGTTAAAATATTTCTCAATATGATCTGATGAGTAACTTTAATCTTATTTCTTTTGATTACTACACAATTTAGCGTACGAAAGCAAAAGTTATGTGTTTAGTAAAAAGTTAACTGATAAAGTTGACAAATTTTTTTATATCCGGAAGCTCAACCATCATGGATCATCAACGGGCTAGACTGTATCACATCGATCCAAAGCTATGAGTATGGGCTGGACTGGGTTAGGTTGTGTACTTGTGTTCAATATAAATAACTTAAATAATGGGCTAGACAGGGCTTTTGTAATGAATAACTTAAATAATGGGCCGGATTGGGCCTAGACGATGGGCTTACAAGAAAATTCAAAATTGTGTATATATCATAAAATACAATGTATTCAACTAAATCAATGAAAAAAGAATTCATTATTCCAAATAATATAATAATAATCGAATTAAAGTTCAAATTATTTATGTTTAAATTTTTGGGAATACAACACTCGTGAAATAGAAATGTTAAAATTTCTTAAACTCTATCACAAATTTTTATTTATAACCTAATAACCATCCAAAACTTTATTCTCTTCTATATCAACCACAGTCATCCAATCTGGTCTTGATGCAACAATATCAGTATCATATTCCCCTTCTTGATCCAATATTGTCTTTTCTTTCATCCTACTTTTTGACAATGTCCAATCTTTTAAATAAACTAATGCTTCAATATTTATTACTCATTACTGTTATATATGCTACTCCATACTAATTATAGAATTGGTATATAAAAATAATAACTAATAGTAGTGTATAAAGGGCTTTTGGGTTGGGCTCAGATGGCCTTAATGGGATGGGCCAGGATAGGTCTTGACATGGTGGCCCTTGAAATTTTTGTCGACTTCTCTTTTATGGTTGTCTTACAAATTTTGACATTTTCCCTTTTTATTAAAATTTTTGTGATCCCTATTAATTCTCTCTGACTCTTCTGCACAAACCTAAATCGTATAATCTTTATTTTATTATTCTTTGCACTCGTTAGACTTAACATGAAGTGAAATAACTGAAGTTTTAAGGGATGAGGGGGGTACATATTAGTTGGTGTGAAGTGAATGATCAATCGGGAGTACACCGTATTACTTTCTGAGGAGTATATATCATTAGTGACATTAATTACCTTAGAAGGTTTTAGGGAAAACTGTCAAATAAGTCTCCTATTATTCCAAAAAAGTCAATTAAGATCCCAACTCAATTATCATCTAATTAGACTCACCAACACTTATAAACTTTTCAAATAAGCTTTTTAGAGATAATCTCCCGGTTCCTAGGTAAACTGCACATGTGGCGTGTGGCGTGGTATGACCTTTAGAACTTATTTGGTGACCATATTTTTTTGGTTTATCAAAGTTAGGAGCAACTTTTCACCAATCACGAAACTTCTCATTTCCCGCGCTGAATTGTGTAATAATAAGAAAAAATAAGATTTGAGTTACTTTTCTGACATTATTGGCTGAAATTATTGTAGAGGATCATTTTAACTATCTTTTCATATATATTTTCTATATTTTATTAATAAATATACTTTAAATAATTTTTTTTATAAATCAACAGAATTAGCCAATGTATCCCATTCATCCATAATTTCATAAATAAATTTCAGTAGATCAAACGAGCCCTTAATTGTTCTTTCTTTTCTTTTTTCTTTTTCTTTCTTCCCTCCCTTGTTTTTCTCTCCTCAGTCTGGTTCTCCGCTCCCCTGGTTCATCACCCCCACTACCGCACTACGTCTTCTTGGCTTAGCTGACTAGACACCCCCACCTAACGTCGTCTCCCCTACTACTCCATCCTCTTTTCATTTCTTCCTCATCTTTCTTTGGTTTCAAAATTTATTTCGTTTGGATCTAAAAGCTAAGATACAATGGTTATTTTGATTTGTTTAGGCAACAAGAAATTGGAGTCGCTTAGTTTGGATTTTGTTTCGGTGGATACAAAAGCCAAGAAATAATGCTGATTTGGATTTGGATTTGGTGTGGGTCAATACATATACAATTTTTCTATAGGTATCCAAAATGTATAACCCATTTGTATCCCATATAAACACTCTCTTATTTTACCATTTTTTATCTCCCCCCAAAAAATCTCAATCTCACATTCCCTCGTCTACCCACTCTATTCTTTTCCACCAAAAATTGGAGCTTCCTCCGAAGTTGTTACAGTCCACAAGCCCATCATCTCATCTAGTTTGTTCCTTCATCTTCTTCAATGTATATATCCTTCATCTTCCAGTCTCTTTGAAAAATGAGCAAACAGAATATTGGGCTCAAAACGGCTTGGACACAGGAATTTGTAGTTGAAAAATGAGCAAACAGAATACTGGGCTCAAAACGGGTTGGACACAAGAATTTGTAGTTCAAATGCTTTGTATAATTTCAACAAATACATATCATAGATTTCAGCCAAATCAATGACATTACAAAGACCCATTTCACATTACAGTCAACTCAGAAGGAATGACATACATTTTATATCACATGACAGACAACTACACAGGAGGTTTAAACAATTCCAACAATTCCATATGATGTGAACAATTTGTTGCAATACGATCCCAGAGAAGTCAATTCACATGGTAGAAAACTACAACCCAATTTTATAGAATTCAATTTGACCTGCCAGACAACTCAAATGGCTTGTCAGACAACTAAATTCACATGACAGACAACTACAAACCTAGATTCAACCATTCAAAATGAAGCGACAAACAACTCAAATGGCTTGCAAGACATGTCCTTTCACATGACAGACAACTATAAACCAATTTTAAACAATTCAAATGGGTTGTCATGCATCTCAAATGGGTTGCCACACAACTAATTTCACATGACAAACAACTACAAACCAAGTTTCAACCATTCAAACTGAATTGACGGACGACTAAAATATCTTGCCAGACATTTTATATCACATGACAGCCAACTCACATGTACAAAAATAGTTCACTAGTATGACAGACAACTTCAAACCACACACAACAGACTACTAAACCATTACAAACAAAGCACAGACAACTTCAAACTACTCACAAACATAATGACAGACAACTCTAAATTTACAAAAGTTATTCACACCAAGAAAAAATAAATCCAATATAAACAGAACAAAAACCATACCTTTCAGCCATTTCTGTTAAGCTTGTGCGAACCATAGAGCTTCAAACCTTCACAACAAAGTGATTTTGAACTGATTTGACAACCTTCAAGTGTTTACGTCCTATAAGAGGGCTAGGGCGAACAGGGGTGAGGCTGGAGTGCTCTCTGACGGTGGGCACTGTTCTGGGGGAAGCAACTGTTGGTTCATGGGGGTGGGGAAGAACACTGTTTTTTTGTGGCGGATGGGTTGGGCTGGTTAATTCGACCGACTGTGAACACGCCGGGAAGGTAGATGACGGCTTTGGTGTTCGAGGGTGGGATGCGAAGACTGGTTGAGGTCTGAGGTGACAGTGGTTTGGGGGGGTGTTCCGAAACATGTTGGGGAAGGGAAAAGGTGAGAGGCGCGGGACATTTGGAAAGAAAGGTGGGAGGGGAAAGGTTGGGCGCACATGAGGGAGGTGAGGGGGTAACTTTTTTGGGTGGGTTTTTATATGGGGTGCAGTTGGGGTATACATTTGGGGTACCTATAACAAAATTGATACATATATGTGTCTATACAGGGAGAGGTATTAAAGATGGAGGGCTACAGACTAAGGATGTTTTTACTTCGAATGAAATTTGCTGGTCTGGTCTGATTTGTTTAAGTCTGGTTTACCTGAACTAGTCTGGTCTGGTAATGTATGGTCTCTGTGTATTTTATAACTATGCAAGTCTGAACTGGTCTGATCTGATCTGGGACTGAAAATAGTCCAAATAAATACATCTGAATTACCAGGAAGAAAGAAAGAGAAAGAGAAGAATAAAAGCAAAAAATGAAATAAAGATTTGAGGGAGGGAGGCGTAGCAAAGATGGAGGAGGAGCAACAAAGACGAAGGGTCGAGGATGAATTAGTAGAAAGAAAGAAAGAGAAAGATGAGAAAGAAAAAGAAAAAGAAAAGATTTGACACATGTTGGCCACATGCGTATGTATACCGGAGAGCCGTTTGTTAACCTCTTGAAGAGCTGTTTTAATTTTTTTTTGAAGTTGGGATACTTGATTGGTTGATAATTGAGTTCAGAGCCTTAATTGACTTATTCGTAGTAGTAGGGTGACTTATTTGACAGTTTTCCCAGGGTTTTATTATGAAAAAATTGAATCACCAAAAGATGTAAATTTTAATCAGATAATATTTTCCTATCACAAATTCAAAATTAATCATTTAATGAGATGTTTTTTATTGTCATTAACTCTTTGTAATTTAAAATAGTTTCCTTGTACTTGTTATTATGGAATTTGTCACTTCCAACTATCATGTCGGTTGAAAAGAGATTGTCATAAGAAGAGTTTACAGTTTTCCTAACACATCTTCATTTAGGCAAGTTCTTATACTATGATGGATTGAGGCTGGTTCTAAATCAATGGCAGATATTTTTAAGCACATTATGCCTGGCATTATTACATGGCACATTTGGAAGGTTTTTTCTTCATACACTTGGGGTTCGGGTTCTATACCAAGTCCAGATTACATTATTCTACAAATCAAGTTCTATACTTAGAAATGGGCTTCAACTTAAACAAAGATAAAACGAAGAAGGGTGGAAGATTTTTTGTACACTGAAAACTTTATTCCGTTAAGGTTTAAGTTTAATTACCCTATTATTCAGGTTGTCAAGTGGAAAAGGCCTAAACAAAACTTCAAATTGAACGTAGATGCTTCGTTCAAACCTGGCTGTGCTTCGGGAGGAGCTATTCTTCGGAATCGGATGGGAGAACTGGTATGGGCTACGTCCTTCAGACTCCAAGCGACATCCAGTGAGGAGGCTGAGTTGCAATCGTTGATTTTCGCATCAGAGATGATAATGGAAGCTGGTTTCGCAGATGTTCAGGTGGAGAGTGATGCGGATAGGGCGATCTCCCTTATTTTGGATGATTCAGGCAACTGTGCTGATTTTAGGAGAAAGGCAACACTCAGAGGTTTTTCGTTCGGACATGTATTTCGTGAAGGGAACGGTCCGGCCCATCTGCTTGCAGGGAAGAATCTGGGTTCGGCCCAAATTATTTTATTTGATCAGGTAGGTAATTTGCCAAAAGATGTTAAAAATAGCTATTATGGAGACCTCTTTTGTATTCCAGCCTTGCGTTTTTAAATTCGTGTATTTTGATTTTTGGGTCAGGTCAAGCCCCCACAAAAATTTCTTATCTTTTAGTATTGAATCATGTACTTTTAGAGGTATGCCTCTAAGGAGAGGTTTTGGTTTGGTCTCCCTCTCTTTTGTATTTTTTCACATCTATTAATAAAATCTGGCAAACGTTCCCCGGCGTTTGCCCCACTGATTTTGGTGGTTTACCTTCCGGGTTAAAAAAAAAAAGACGGATGAGCACCCGAAGATGGATGCGCGTCAGTTACAGAGGTGCGACCGAAGGAGAATGTGCAATCAGATATAGAGGTGCGACAGACCATGAAGATGTTAACCAAGACAGAGTTGCGATCGAAAACGAAGTTGCTAACCAAGACGAAAGTGCAACTAGATACATAACTGCGACCAAACACACAGGTGTGAACCAAGTCAAGTTCCAATCGGAAAACCACAATAGAGAGGACAATCAAAACCGCAGTTAGGGAAGAAAACACTGCAAAGAACATAAAACGACTATTATGTTCATAATGTTTTGGTACCATGATCATAGGTATTTCTAATTTCTTTCATACACAAACATTTTACGGAGTTAGTGCTAGTCGACAAGCATTATGACTCTTTGTTCGGATATGTTACATATGTATAGGGATGGACTGGGACGTGACGGTCCGGCCCGCTCCCGGCACGCTCCCGGCCCAGTCCTCTTTAGGCTCGGAGCCCGGCCCGATGGCTATAAGGGCCCGGTCCCGGGCCCGATTGCACTATATTTTTTTAAGTTATTGTCTAGGCCCGTCCCGACCCGGTCCCGCCCCAGTACTGTTTAGGCCCAACTCAGTCCCGGTACAAATCTGGGCCGGTACCGGGCCTGAATTTTTTAGGCTCGATCCCGCCTAGTCCCGGTCTGGTCCCGGTCCATCCCTACGTATGTACATGCATAGAACTGTACTGACAACTAACGTTGATTTGTAGAGACAAATGAAGTCACTAGTCATCCTTATTGATTATACATTTATACGAGCAAGTGATCTTATTTATGTTTATAAATTTTTCACACCTGAATGAGTGTATTATTTGTACAAATGAAAGATGTATGTTAAAGAATTAGAATAATGACATAAATTTGTAAACGGATGCATATAGTAATGGTGAGAAAGATGATTGTGTAAACGTTCCGAAGATGGATATGGTGTTTCCTAAAGATGCACTTTATGATTGCGCAAATTTTCGAAATAGTAGTAATAACATTTTCGAGTTATCAAATCAGAATATCATGTTTTTATTTTCTAAATAGGAGTAATAACTATCAAGTTTGAAAAATATTATCATGTATGTAATTTTTTCTATTAAAACATGATAATAATTACTCCTATTTGGAAAATAAAAACATGAAAATTCTATTTTATAATACTAGACGTTTTAAATCTTATTATAAGGAAATATTCTATTTATGATTTCTACAAAAAGTATAGTATTTCCCGTAAGAAAAAGGATTTCAAATATAAAAGATGTACTTGATAGCATTTGTAGTAGAGCGTTCAGGTGCAGGAAATTAAGAAGTAGATGTAGCAGGTCAAAGAAAGTGCATTACTAATAAACGCCACAAATATTCACGAAGACAAGGCATTGGAAAACTATAAACGCCAAAATATTAACAATGCAACATATGTTCATCCTCTTAATACATAATAACAAGACTTTTACCGTTTTTACATTAAAAGACCAATAAAAAACACTAGACTCCCAAGAGTTGAAAACATAACCTGTGGAAAAATACCCACACCTCAAGTTTATGCATACCAACACATGAACCAGGATGACTCAAGATTGTAACAAAACTTCACAAAACAAAAACGGAAAGCAAAAGAGAAAAAACAAGTGTTCTTTTCGAGGAGTCATATGATTTTAGGACACCATTACGGGGAGTCTTTTGTTGCCCATAACAGCTTGCCGAAGGCGATGATACCCATTCCTGTAGTGTTCCAGAGAGAAACAAAGCTGTCGTATAGCCTCGCGTTTCTCTTCAGCCCCTTCCTCAATGATCTCTTGTTGTCTCTGTATTTCTGTCTCCATTTCTTTAACCGTCGACTTCATTTCCTCTAAAAGTTTATGTGCACTATCAGTTTCCATAATCAACTGCACGTGTTCCATATGCAATTCATGCAAGTGCTCCTTCATTTCATCTATGCTATCATTAAGCTCATTATTCTTCAACTTTAATTCTTCCACGAGATCATCCTTCTCATTAATGGTTGTTTTTAACTGTTCAATATCGAAAACGAATGAAGCTTCCATTTCAGATTTTCCAGCCAAAGCACGTTTCAGCTCCTCCTCTAAGAATTGGCACCGTACATCCATTTCTTTGACATTATCTGCCAAGTACGCCCTTTCTTTCAAGAGTTTAGTAATATCCTCTTGTATCTGTGAGTTCTCCTCTGATAAAGCCTTGTTTGCGTTGGACATTGATTCCTTCAATCCCCGAATTTCCTGGTCTCTTTCTGATAGATTGGTTTTGTACCTTTTTGTAATATTAGAGAATTGTTTAGACAACAATAACTGTTTGGTATATATGGATCAAGTTCCATCATAAAAGATTCTCATAGGCTCAGAGGAGTAGCCTAACAGCACACACCCTAGTCCTGGGGACATCATTTGGATGGTCCTATTTTTTTTTTATAAGATGCATTTATGGCTCCATCTGAACGGTGCATTTTTCATTTTCAATGAGAACTACAACACAACTATGATTTAAGTTGGCTTTCATACAACATTAAGACTTGTTTCATCCAAAAGGTCAAGTTGATATGACAAGTAACCTAAGAACTTATAGGTTTTGGTTTGTTATTTCATACTCATCTTATGTTAAGACAATTTATTCAGCAATCCGGGCCAACAATTATAGACAATAATAAAATCCTAGCCAACTAAAATACAATAAAAGATAAAAGGCCGTAATGCGCCATACACAAGGCATAAACATACCTCGTTATCCGGTCATGAAGCTTGGAGACCTCTCTTTTCTCCTTATCAAGTTTGGCTGTCAAAATAGACACATCTTTCTGTAATTGCTTTGTTAAACATTCATTATTTTTAAGTTCGTTTCTTAAGCTCTTTATCTCCTCCTCTGAACCGTGCAGTTTATCTTTGGCAATCCTCAACTCGTCCTCAAGAGTCTCGATCTTTTTTAATTCAACGGGGTCCACAACTTCTGCTTCCGGATCGGCATTGTCATGAACTCTTTCATTCTCCAAATCGGTAATCTTCTTTTGTAAGCCGGCATGGTCGTCATCATGGCCGAGTGTGGTTGAATAATTATTGATGGAAGAAGCATCATCAGATTCTGACTCGGAATCCAATGTAGAAGATTCATCTCCTGCAACCGAGCCGCTTCCTGAACTACCAAGGAAGTACTCAAATCCTGCAGGGCGGAGCCCACCGGGTTTGTGGTGAGGAGAAGGCAAGGAAGAAGTCGGTTCAGAACCGGCACCGGAGATGCCAGAGCCTTGGGATTGGAGATCAGAGGGAATGTTTTTCCGGAGTTCACCTGTCACGTTGTCATAACGTTCAGCCAAAGAGCGATACATACGGTAGAAATCCTCAACAAGGTTGATCAATTCTGGCCTCTTTTGGTAATACATTTCAGCCTTCTTTGCAAAGGAGTCCCCATCATCTTCAATCAAAGTCAGCATCCGCTTTATGTTCTGGTCCATCTCTGTAACCAGTGATTTTTTTGTCATTTTCTGGTTTGTCATTCAATCGGTTTATTCTCATATCACAATTACATGGATTATTATGTATGAAAAACACTTTGTAGCTCAGAAATTTAGACAAATGAAAATAAAAGTCAAAACTGTTTGTTGGCCCTTTTTTCAAGATTGCATGGTCAAGCATTTTGCAATGCAGGAAACCACAAAAAAGATAATGGCTGGGAAATATTATAACTGACATAATAGCATAATCTTAATCACCGTCTACTAAACCACCGAGTCATGTGACATTAATTAATACGGAGTAATATCATACCATTTATTAAAATAAATAATACCATGATATTATATCTAATCCACACCCGTTGAGAACATACAAGCTTTATTTGTTAAATAGTGATTAGAGCATTTTTAGCAAATGATTGGTTTGATCTTAGGGGTTTTGGCCCACTGTTGAATATATATAAAGAGTAAAGACGTACGGTAAAACTGAATGAGACCTATTGGTATATAATAAACAATATTTAATTTCTCTTTATTATTATCAATTACTTATTAATTATATACTCTTTAATTACATAATATAGTATCTTTTTAAACATTTATTTTTAAAAATTAATTTATTCACCACTTCTCCCATTTTATATGCTTCCTTGTACAGCGAAAGGAGGCAGATTGAAGATATTTCAAATCAATGCGAGGAAATAAAATAAAACTTGCATATTCATATACTGCATGAAACTCTAACAAAATGAGTAGTTACATGACTCTTGTATTATAAAAGATTCTTTAAGAAAATAAGCTAAAGACAAAATGTGCAGTTTAAGCAATGAATAGTTACTAAGATAGATATGAAAAAGTCAAGGTGACATGGAGGTTACTTTGTTCTTTTTTATTTAATTTAATTGTTAAAAAAGTTCAAAAAATTAAAGCATCAAAAA